GCTAAATCCTCAGCACCAGTTTAGCTCTTTCTTAAAAACACAACTTTCTAAGACAAAAAGAACATACTCCAGGCTTACAGGAAAATAACTAAAACTCAAAGTAAGAAATAGCTTTCTGGAAGTTTTGCTTTTGAAGAATCCTCGAAGTGAGGTTTATATTGAAGTATTTGCTGATTTCAACTTTCTGTGCCATCAAAAGTATTAAAACAGATTACTAGAGGAGAGGTGTGAAAATATAAATAACAGAATATTGAATTAAGGCTAGAGAAATTATCCAGTTTTAGTCTTAGAAAACACACAGAATGGTTTTAGGTAAAGCGATTGACACTCACAGAATGAAAGATTTATGCAAGGACCATCGGAAGTAACACATGGACACCTAAAAAGTTTCCAGTTTCACAGATAATTAGTGAACATAACAAAATAACCAAAATGCACGCAGATGGGCTGCAGTTTGGGCAGGACCGAGGACTTGTAGCTGTGTATTTCTAGATCATCCTACTTCTAGTAAGCAGCAGTCACGTTGCACCCAGCAGTGTGTTCAGCTCACTGTTCTGTTGTGTTTTCCTCACAACAAGGTTAGAAAGACCCTGTCTCAAAACAAACTAAAAGAAAGTCTCTGGAGAGGTAGCTCTGGGAAGGCATTTATTTAATCAGATTCTCCTATGATTTTTGCACCCTCAGTAAGGTTACATTAACTTTAGCTTCCCAGAGGACACAGAACAGTAGCTCCGCAAATAAAAATGGTATTTGTTTCATCTCAAATGTTGTACTTTCAATTATCAAATTATATTTTAGTGACTGAACAGGGTGGTTATAAGCAAAATGACTGACAAATGGAATGAGTGTACTTCTGCGTAGAAGCACTCAGTTTTGTTTGCTTCCAGGGGGAGCAGACTCCAGTACCTGGCCGGTCCAGGATATAGCATCAAGACCCTGGGCCATGGCAGGTAATAGCTAAGGTCGAACAATCATTTGTTATTTTACACAGGTTTTTTCACCACACTGTATTCTTTCAGACATTCTCTCATACAAAACATGTTTTCCTACTTCTCTGAGATACTTCTAACCCAGAAAAAGAACAAAGATGTTTTGTACTAAGAAAAAGACGTCTTCTGACACCAGTGATTAAAGCTAATTGGATTATTCTTGCCTTATAGAGCAAGAGGAGATTGTTTTCACTTTTCAAATGTGAAAGCTATAAGAACATATAAAATGAATCAAGTATGATGTTGAGAATAGAAAAACATAGACTTTGTGACAATAATAAGACAAGAGAAGGGAGTAATAAACTTGGTTTTGCCAAACTAAGTTTTATAACTAGGTATTGGCCACATTTCCATAAAACTAGCCCTGTGGGAGGCTGAGGCAGGAAGAGTCCAAGTTTGACTCCAGCCTGTACCACCTCATGAGTTAGAAAAACCCTGTCTCAAAATAATATATTAAAATAAGTTCTCTGGGGAGGTAACTCGATGAAGGCATTTGTTTAATTTCCACTATAAATAAAAACAACCAAACAAATTAACTCATATAACCTAAATATCAATATTTTGTCTTTGATAATTTAAAAATTCTAAAGAAATTCTGTTAAATTAAAAATATAAAATGATAAAGCTATGATAAATATAAGCATTTAGAAAAATAGTAGTACTATATTTTTAATTATTCAAAATAACTAAATATTCAGTACAGTACTTAGGTTAGTGGATATATTTATTTTATTTTTATAATAAAAACCTACTTGATCCATTAATGTACAAATTTGACTTCTTTTATACTATCTAAACAATCAAATATTAATTAAAATAACATTTTCAATTATATATGAATCGGGGCTGGGGATTTAGCTCAGCGGCATAAGCGCCTGCCTTGCAAGCAGGCAGTCGTGAGTTCAAGCCCTGGTACCAATAAAAACGAAAAAGACAAAAAAAAATTATATATGAATCAATTAACAGAATATATTAAAGATGTTTTATTACTTTATCCATATATTTATAATATTCAGTGTCAACAATGAACATATTAAAATAAAAAAACACATCTTTGTATTTAAGAATTGCACTTTTACTAAGGACCATATCCTAATTGAATCTTTCTTGCCTTTGCATGTTGTTTGTATTTTATTTTTATTTTCAAATTTAAGTTGTCTGGATGCAGGTTTCTAATGTATTTCCAAAAAAATATCTCAGCCAACGTTTTGTTTCTGAAATTGTTCAATGCATTGATTATGTTGTGAGTAATTTTTATGATATAAATTCACAGTAGTTTTTCTGTTTGGGTATTGTTTGAACACAAGAGCATTTTGATTGGATTTGTAATATATGTATTTTGGAAGTACCTGGCAGTATAGCTAAGGAAATTGGTGGATATTTGGCATTGCCAATGCCCATTGGAAATTGCTGGATATACAACTAAAAAGGAATTGCATAGTGTGTACCTTCTAGATGTTCCTACTAATCTATACCCAAATTTACCCATGGATAAATGGTGTTAAATTTTATAGCATCATGTCAATATAGTTAGTGTTAAAACATTGTAAGCTAAGTTGATTAACCCCACATTTCTTTAAAAGTCAGTAATACTGAAAATATTTTATGTATTTATTTGGCTTTCTTATGAATTTTGATAAATATTCTCATTAATTATTTGCCATTTATATTTTGCTAGCACTGTACTGTCTTTGGTATGTTTTTACTACATATCATAAATACAATTTATGTGTCATCATATGTGCTGCAAATATCCTTCCTTATCTTGTGACAATATTTTCTTCCTGCATTATAACATATTAAGAGGAATTGAAAAAAGTTGTAGGATCAATGATATTTTAAGATTTTGTGTTTTGTGCATTTTGTATTTTGAGTTCTTTTATTACTTATTTTCCTATGTGAACATTAATGTTTTCTTACAATTATACATAAATATTTTATATATGCGTGTAATTTAAAAGGGGTTTTGTTTTTTTTTTTTTTCTTATTTTTATCATTCATATAAGTCATGCTGTTACCATTTTTTGGTAAATTCTTTACCACTCAGTTGATCTGCAGTGACATAATAATTATAAATTAACTTTCTTCATATTGTGGGTATAAGATTTGTTTTCTCTTTCTCGCTATGCAATTATAAAGTGCATTATGTTCTAATACAAGGTAATAAGTCCTAATAAATCATAGGGCAATTCTCCTTTAATACTTTTTTTTCTTAAAAGTCTGAATAACATCAGTATTTATAAACCTAGGCAGTAGCCTTCAATTTCTATGAAGAATTCTCTTTGCATTTGTATTAATTGTATTGAAATACAGATCCATCCAAAGGGATCAGACTCACTTAAGACATTACACCTTATGCAGAGACATACAAGAGCTCTTGATTTCCTCAGATTTTCCTTAGATTTGTTTTAATTAAATTAAAAAGATTTAATGGCTTGCAGATAGATGTTTCATATTATTAATTTAATAGAGTCATTTTGTTTCTACTATGTAACTGTTAGTTTTGTATTGTGTGATGTATGTGATTTTGGGATATATGTATACTATTACAGTTTTTGTTTTTTATTTTTGTTCAGTGATTGTGTATGCTACTTTATTATAATTTCAGTTCTTTGATTTTGTGTAAATTTCTTGAATTAAAAAGTTTCCCTTCTTCCTTACTGGCTTCCATTTTTTCTTCTTTTCTTCTCTCTATCATTTCTGTCTACACAAGATTTCTTCAAATACATTTTACCAAAATAATGGTTTTTAGGACATAAGTTAAGTCATTTTACTCTTTCGATTATTCTATTGATATGTAATTTCTTTCAGTGTGAGTGTATGCTAGTTAATATTATCAAACTGCTACATGTTATACAAAACAAGGTGTGAAACATTTCCTTCTTCATCTGTTTTCAACAAGAAAATGTTGAGAGCGAAATGATTTCCCTCTTTAATTTTAGATATAATCACAAAAGACCTAGGGAAACTTCTTTCCTAAAATTGATTTTCTTAAGCTTTTTGTACTACTAATTATATTTTCAATTTCTTTTGGAATATCTATGGGATTTTTCTTACTATTAACATCTGCTGTATAAACATGCATACCTCGTTTTCCATTCACATAGTTAGTTTTATCTTATGTTGTATGTTCATAAAACTCTTTATTTTTTGCCTTTAATTTACCCTTATTCCTTACTGTGTTAGTTTATTATAATTTAAATTTTGTCTTTTTTAAAGAAACTAGCAAATACATCAGTGATAAGAAAAAAGAGAGACAACCACAGTACATCTGGAGAGTGAGGGGAAAATGTAGTCGAGGAAATATGTAAATTTTCTTCTATGAATTTTGAATCTTTAGCTTTGAAATATAAAATAAAACCAAAAACTTGCTTTCCATTCCATCATTTAATCAGTAAACTCACTGCAGTGTGATGAAAGAAGTTGAAAATATTCTAAGGTGTTCAATGTAATATTTTGAAGTCTAACAGAATTATATGCAAATTATATGCTAAGTACTTAAATTATTCATATATTCCCAAATGTAACAGCATCACACACTGCATATATTTCCTAACAAGAAGAAAATGATAATTTGTAGAAAGTACTTTACTTTGTGGTTTCTGAGTTTATTTGTGTTTCAGTTGAACATTTTTTAAAACTTATGTGATTTTTTGAATAACTGCTGTGGTTACATTAATGATGAACCTATTGTTTCAGTTCTTAGACTCTCATAGTATACAAAAAGTTCTGACAATTTTCTCCCACTCTATTTCCTGCTTAGCATATAATCTCTGTACTATGAAAAATTATCATTTTACTATTCATGTCAGGCCTTGGCTGTTCATTTTTTAAATTTATTTTTCTTGAAGCTACTGAGTTTCAGCAAAAACTGCCTTCATAAAGGTGTCTTTTGCCAAACTTTTGCTGCAGGGTATGGAGCCAGTGACAAGCCACAGTATTAAAATTTGTTTTAAACCCATCCTGCAAGTGTGCGTGGAAATACTAAATACATCCCTATGTGTTTTGCAGACAATCCTGGTTTACTGAGCCATGTCACAGTGGGTATTAGAGTTTTGGATGTCAATGACAATCCACCAGAACTTGCCAGAGAATATGATATTGTTGTCTGTGAAAATTCTAAGCCTGGCCAGGTAAGTTAATTGTTTCCTTCCCATCTTTGAATAGAAGAAACATAAGCAGCTTTATTTCTATTATACTATGATATAATCCCCCCAAATCCTCCAGTGTAATGTTTGCACTCTGAAGATTTTAGAAAGCTTTACCTTGAAGGACAAATATATTTTTTTCAGAATTACAGAATTTAAATATTCTTTATAATCTCATAAGTAATTCAGAGCAATGGACTTACTTATGCATGATGCATTCATCATGCCAATAAAACTATATCAAAAATTTTACCTAAAACTCTGAATTAAGGGAGAGGAAACAGTAAATTTTTTGTCCTAACAAAGCATAGAGATCTACCAGGAAGAGGAGCTGGTACACTACTTTGGGATACCTAGTGCACTTCATATCAACATTGATTGAATGATGACACTGATAGTTAAAAGAACAATAGCGCTGACACAGTGAGTGCATACGTTAGTTAACGACATGTGGAAGTGCAGAGAGAAAGCTTGAACTCAGACTCTGAGGCTGAAAATGCCACGATATTTACTTCAAAAGGTGAGAAAGTTCTGAAAGCAGTCTGGTTTGGTTGCAGCATATTGAACAAGTGACACTAGAAAAAAATGTGAATTAATATCTGTTGTTAAGGTAACATGCACAAAAATATTCAAATTAAAGTATATTTATCATCATACGATTTCTACAGTCAGACACTTAAGAATATGCATGGCTTTGGGACTTTGTAGAATCTCGTAAGACTGTGATCAGCTGTCGTGGCATTCTTCTTGCTCAAGCCCTGGGAATCTGTTTCAAATTCGCGTGCTTGCTTGTAGCTCTCAATTCCCTTTCAGCTGTGAGTCTGAGATGTTTAGGGTTAAACTTAGACACTCAAAGCTTCCCAGTGTTCTAAGATACTACTCAGGTCTCCTGGTAAATGAACTCTTGCAATACAACCACACAATTTACCAAGTAAAAACAAGCTTGCTAGTGAGTCTGTTAACAAAATGGTATCTTGCAATGTAATCTAGTGAGCCACCCTGCAATATTCTCAGGGTCCCGTTTTTCACTGGTCAAAAGAACAGCACAATTTATATCAATCTCTATGCAAAACGGGTTACAGTAAGAAATGCAGTCTGAGATTACCTTAGTATCTCTTCACTACCTAAACATCTAGAGGGATATACATGGTTTCAGCAGTCTATCTGAGTTAGAAAGACTTTCTTATACTCTTTGGTAAGACAGATCCAGTGTAACATCTAAAGTACTTTAGTCATTTTGAAACTTGTGATGAAATCATGGCCTCATGAAACTACTTTGTATAATTATGTATTATGTGAATCACCACTAATATGTTGACATTTCTTGTGTATGTTTTAATACCAGCAGGCAATGTATTTTCTTCTGTTTAGTTTTTAGTAATTAATGAATCAGATGGCACTCAGAACCACCTGAGGTTTAAAGAACTCTTTCTAGTAGTATAAGCAGAAAGCTTTCATAGATAGAACACAGAGAAAAAGAGATGTCACCTGATTGGCTTGAGTTAGGCATTTACCTTAATCGGGTGTTTTCTGATCTGTTTTCATGTTATATTGGCTGAAGTTAAACTACTTGTGATAGCTTGAAATCTAACTTGTTATGCATTATGAAATATGGATAAGGAGAAAAATGATATTCAAACGAAAAATTCAGATTATTGAAAATACAGTAATTGAAAACGATTTGGCAATCTTGATAATAGTTTATTGGCATAAGATAAAACACAATCTACAATGAAGAAAAAATAAATCACATTTAAAATCCATGCACAAAATGGAATTAAAAAGAAATAATACAAAGTTAGCAGCATTGCAGATGAATGGAGCATATATTTTTATTTATTATTCAATTCCCAAAGGCATGAAAAAGAGAACATAAAAGCAATTGATAGATATGTTATTGAATTATTATTGAACTTTCATGCCTGTTTCAGTAATTATTGGATTACTCACATGGAATTAATAAGGATATTAAAATTAAACAACATAATTATAGAAGCTTACTGATTGGCAAATACACTATCTCCATATTATATGTTATTTTGCACAAAATGTTAAAAATATTTGCTGTGTTGGACCATAATGCAAGTTTTAAACACTTGTAAAGAATGGATATTATTATATTTTATTATAATAAAATACAGAATTATAATAATTCATAAATTACTACAAGGGCAAGATATTATTGTAAATGAATGAATTCATCTAACTCAATGAAGATATCAAAATGAAAATTAATTAAAATATGTGGATGCTGCGACAGTGAAAATACAGCATATCAAAATTACATCCAACAAAAAGGGGACAAGTGAAATAAATAAATACAGCCCAGAAATAGAAATGATCAATAAATACATGAGAAAATTCAGCATCTCTGGTCAATAGAGAAAGGCAAATTAAAATATTAAGGTTGCATATTTTTCCAGAAATTATGACTATGATTAAAAAACAAACAAACAAAAAACATGTAGCAGGAAATTCTGGGACGGGACCAGGGATATAACTCAGTGGCACAGCAGCGCCTGCCTGGCAAGTGCGTGGTCATGACTTCAATTCTTAGTAAAAAAAAAAAAAGAAAAAAAAAAAAAAGGAAGAGAGAGAGAGAAAAAAAGAAAAGAAAAAAGAAATTCAAGTGAGGCTTTGGGAAGAAAGGACTTTACAGTGTTGGTGGGAATTTAACTTAGTACAACCATAATGGAAGTCAATATGCACATTCAAAAAATGGAAAAGAAAAGAAACCTAAAAGACGTGATTTCATTTGATCAATCACTCCCTGCTAGGTAACTTCTCAAAACGGCTAAAAACACTACCTTCCAGTGATATATCCAGACCCACATTTACAGCAGCATATTTTGCAATAGTTAAACGTTGGAAGAGGTTTACATGTCCCTCAACAGATGAATGAAGAAAATGTGATACCGATACATAATGGTATTCATCTCTGCTACAAAGAAGGATAAACTTGGCTTATTTGTAGGAAAAATTATGGACCTTGTGATAATAATATTAAGTAAAATAAATTAGACACACTTGCTTATGTACTATATAGTTCCTTTTAATGACAAAAAATATAAATGAGTAAAATGAAAGAGAGGTAATAAAACATAGGAAAATACATCTTTTGTAAATAGGAAGAGGACCAACACATGAAAGGAGGAGACAAAAGCACGGTAAAAGTATTAAAATGTTATATATATATATATATATATATATATATATATATGTGTGTGTGTGTGTGTGTGTGTGTGTGTGTATGAATTCCATGATGGATATGATTTGCATCTAAGATAACTAATTAAATTCAGTTAGTCAGTTAAATAACTTTCAGATTTGTACAACACCCATCTGGCAAGTGCATGTCATGAGCTTGATTCCTGGTACCTAAATAAATAAATCTTATGATTAAAGGAAACTATGGTTATTGTGAGTGTATAAAATTGAAAAAATAAAATAATGCTTAGTAAAATCAATCACTCATTTTGAAAAACTTTGAAAAAGTGCAGTAAAGAAAAGGACAACTAATGAAGGGCAATCAATAAAACGTTAAGTGATCAAAAAAGAAAATTCAAGAACCCAGAATCATTTATTTGAAAGCACAGAAAAGTTATTGGTGAGAAAAAAGAAACAAAATAAATAAAAATAGTGAGAAAATATAGAGAAAAACCATTAGACACATAAAGATTTCAATAGCTGAAAAATATTAAAATGAATATATTAATAAGTGAAAATTTAGTTACAACAAATAGATTTTTAAAGGAATTTTTTCAAAACTCTAACAAGTATAAAGTTATTACTCTTTAGTCATTAAATATTTTAAATATATAAAAGAAATCCTCCCCAGTATATGCCTGTCTCAGGGTGAATTTCAAAAACATTTTGTAAAATAATCACAATATTGAAAAGTTGTCTACCTTTTAGAAAAAGAGGCAATTATTTTTCTATGAATTTGTAACTAAAATGTAATTTTATCATCACAACATTCCAGGTAAATTGATGAAATTTTATGTGTGACTATAGATATAATAATGACAGATAAAATATTATCAAATAAAATTTTTAAATTAAATCATCAAATTTTATTTGCAAAATTCAAAGAACTTGAGAAAGGTCATCATCATTTTTATTAGTAATGCAATTAATAACAACAGTGAGAATGTTTCTAAGTACTGACGTATCTTTGGAATAGATTAAAATATTTACTGGTACAATGATTGTATAAAGATGTATCTCTTTGTAGTACAATTAGTAAAGTTTAAATATTTTACCACTTCATACCACATTAAACATTAACACAAGGAATAAGCACCATCCTTGTAAGGATTGAATTACTCTTACAAGTGGAAATCATTACAGTTGAGGCCCTATTCTTTAATTATTTTTTTTTCCTTTTGTTAACTCACTGCTGTAAAAATCGGCAAATCAAAGATAAGTTATAAAGCATCAATTAAAGGCTGATATTTGCATCACAAATTGCTGATATTTTCTGGATAACTGTAAATTTTAAAAACAGACAGGAGTAGGTACATTTGCTTCTGAGTTCTGAGGTCATCTCAGTGTCTGAGAGGGAAGCGTGGTCTCCTGCCATGGTGTGGCACAACATTCCAGGCCCAATTCTGGTCCGTTGACACTTTCTGCCAGGGCCCTTGAACGAATGTTTACAGATGTGAATTACTGGCTCACTTTTCTGCTCTGTGCAAAGTGGTGACTTTATTGACGTGTCCTATTGTCCGGTTCCTGTGGCAGTGACAGTTCACTGAGTCATTGTCAGGAGGATTTACTCCCCTTCAGTACCACACTGCTGGCCTTTGTCTCCTGCTTTATCCTCTATGTTGACAGCTTAAGCTGGAAATGCTTCTAAAGGCGGATTTTATGTGACATTGACAAGTACTTCCTGCATCTCTACCATAAAGCAGTTGTCAGAATTTCGGGACATTTTCTAAGCCTAAATTTTATGAGTTTAGGACTAGATTAGTTGGAAATTCACTTATTCATTGCTATCTATGCCTTAAATGCTAGTACATTTTCTGAAACATCTGTATTTGTCAGAACCTGCTTATTTCTAGACTAGGGTTTATGAATCATTTATATGAAATAACTGTTTCAAGAACTATTGTTAAAATAAATTTCCATATTCAAAGTCTACATCTTCTATTACATATGTGCCAATAATTTTCAGAAATGTATCACAAGAGTTAGCACCCACAAGTAATAGTCTATTAATACATTTTGCACTGTTATTTGTGACATTTATTGTTTAAAACTCATTTATTAATATTCTGTGGCTCACAATTTATGATTTTATATATACACTGATACACTTAGATCATTATATTGTTGCCTTGCAGCATTTATTTCAAACTTTGTAACAAAATATTTAAAGTTTAATTAAGGATAGAACACTCATTTTATGTATTTCTTGGGGCAAATATATTGCTACAAATTATTACAATTGTGTTTAGGCTGTGTTACAGCCATTACAGAGGAAAATGATTGTGTCCTTTCCGTTTAACTTTACAATTGTTGGTTCCTTTGAGGTATGTCGACAGAATTTGAGGGAGAACTTGATACGTTTAGAATAGAATACTTTATTTAAACAATGCTTTCTGAAGTACGTTCTCTAGTGTACAGAAAATTTCTTTTTATGACAGATGTTGGGACTTTGGGGTTGCATGTATATTAATATGCATGCAGTATACATAAATCTGTGCAGGGAGATGGGTCACATGAAAGTTTAAACTGTATCTAACAGCAGACCTCTGGTCAGTCCAAGTAGCCATGAAAACTTCAACACTATAGTTCTCTGAGGAAATACATTTTCCTGTTTTTTAAAAAAGGTATCTTTTCAGACTTTCCTAAAAAATTAAAGAGGCATGCATGCATGAAATTTGAAGTCAGTTCCTAAGCAGACTAAATTCAAAAGAGTCTTCATGTATTCATATAGAATTTCTCTACTGTTCTTTTGCTTGTTGCATTTGAAGTGAACTCAGAAACACTGTATTAAAAAATTCAGTATATAACACTAATCTCTGATACATCACATGCAGTTTTATTATGTAATTTGTATGTTGTTAATAACATGTGAAAAAGCCTCAGCTATTTTAACTATCAAAAGTTGATATAATTTTAAATTATACATTTATATCAACTTTTATGTTTTGAAACAAACTGATTAAACAAGATATCCTATCTTTCTTAGAATTACTTTTCAACTAAAATTTTAAGGTTACCTCACACACCAAAGAGAATACCTTAGTACTTGTTTAAATGTATGACACAAGTATTTTTTTCCTAACAAAGAACTATAATAGTAAATCATCTTGCCAAATAAAACTTTAAAGTAACATACGTTTATTTACAAGTCCATCAAAATATCCCTGGTGATTATTTATAAATATTAAGTGTCAATTTGAATCTTTTCCTTATTGAAAGGCATGTTAAATGTGTGGCTTTATATATTTCAAAATAATCTAAATTGTATTTATTAATAATTATTGATATATGATGGGGAGTATGGGGTGCAGTGAGAAGAAAAGAAGAAATAAAAGGAAAACTGTTAAAAAAATTTGTCTTACCAAACAATTGAAAAACAGAAAACTTTTAGGACAAGATATATAAATCATTACTCTGAAAATGAGTAGAAAATATTAAAGATGGAAAATTGGAAATCATCTAGGTATCCGCCAGATGTTTAAATTTTAAAATAAACATATTAACTTTCCATTTATATTTTCTAAAAAAATCTTGAGGGAACCGTGAATGAAAATCTTATTTTCTGATGAAAGAGAAGATGTGACTTGCAAAAGAGAAAATCTGGATATGTCATCTAAGGACAAGAGACTATAATAAAATTTAGCAGAAAACAGACCAGCGTTTTATCTCTTGGAAATATGTTTCAGAGGTATCCTAAATAAAATTTAGTCATCTGATTGAGTATCAATTTTAAGAGTTCACAAGGAATGCAAGCAAAATGTATTCACTAATATTACTTTTCAAAGAGAAATTTTCTTACTAAGAAAAACAAATTTGTCACAAATTATTTCCTCTAGGGATTAAATTTCAAATACTTTTGATAAAAGTGGAAAGTATAACTCAGTAAAAATTAAAGGAACCAGTAATCACAATACAACATGAGTTATAACCCAGTTTATCAAATAGAACAAGCTCAAACTTGTAGAAAAAAATTGCAAAAGCATTAAAGTTACTTAAAAACTAACTTTGACTTGAAGACAATAATAATAATAATAATAATAATAATAATAATAATTCCCCAGATGTGAAAACTGGAAACATAACACAGCTCAGATAAACTAAATGACTTGCCCTCTATCAAATCCCTCTGAAATTATATTTGGGGATAAAAGCGGAGCTCGCAAATATATTAGAATGGTATAAATTATCATAAAGAAAACAGATATGCACACAGGAAAATGCCAATGATAGAAGAATATATGATAAATGTGTTTATTTTTCGAAGAAACCAAAGCAGGAGTAAATGAGCCTCTACCTGCCTGTGTGTGTGTACATGTGTGCGTGTATAACTTTGTGTGACTGTGTATATGTGAATGTGTATGTTTGTGGTGGCAGCAGAGGATGAGACAATGACACATTGCTTAAATACTTATATTTACTTAACCCTGAAAACAAATTTGAAATTGTGTCCTTGTTTTCATTAATTTTTTTTTTTGTTGTTGTTTTTGTTTTTGTTTCTTTTTAAGCAACAAATGTGCATAGGATGTAACTTTACTTCTCAGTCCATAAAGCACTTTGGAATCTATTTGAAGTTTTTCATGCTTCTGAGAAAAAACAAAAGGCCAAATTACTCTGCTTTATCCATCCTGCCATGGAAAAAGAACATAAACAGTAGGAAGGATGAGCATTTTAGCTCAAAAGTAGATATTACAGATTGAAATCGAGTAAAAAGTAATGATAGGGACATCTCTGGAGGTGTGCAGCTGATGGACACATAAAATCTCTTGCTGACAAAGTCAGTTTTGACCCATGAAGGCAAGACGTGAAGGTGTGAGCACCGTGCACTCATGGAGGAAGCGGATCACTGTCATATTCTGAACCGCAATCTTTCCTGTTACTTCATGAAATCCTGTGCTTTTGTTTATCTGTTTGTTTGCATTTTTTTTTTTGTTTTTTGACTCCTACTGCCCTGATCATTCCTTCTCAGTATATCTATAATTCCTCTCATCTCCTCTAATAAATATTATTCTTCGTATATAGAGAGAGGAGTTTAGGTTTTAACTGAAGTATTCTTAGTTGAAGTTTTAAAACCCTTGTAAAAATTTAAATGAGGGAAAATTGCTTAAAATTTTCATAACAAGTATATCACTTCCCTCAGTGAACATCCTCTATTTCAAAATAATTAAACTGTATTTTATAGCTTTTTTTTTCTTTTTCTTCAATTTTTCAAAGGGAGAGCTTCAAAGAGAACACTTAAATGTTTAACATGTTAATTATTAAGATGAAGATATGATATAGTTTGTTTGGATTCTTAAATATTCCAATTGGCATACCTATTATAATGTGTTCCCCTTGGGAGGAAATGTTAGTGTAGACACTGTGGAATATAGCATAGATATTCCTCCAAAATTAAAAATAGAACTACTATATGATCAACCAATTGCACTGCTGGGCATATACCCAGAGAGATGAAGTCCTTATATCGAAAAGATACTCGCACCTCATGTTTCTTGCAACCCGGTTTAGTATAGCCAATATACGAGATCAACTCAGAGGCCTTCCAGTGCATGACTGGATGAAGACAGCGTGGTATATTTACAGAGGGTTATACCATTCGGCCATGACAAAGAAAAGCTGCCCTTGCAGCAATATTGATGGAACTGGAGAGCCTTATGTGAAGTGAAACAAGCCAGAAACAGAAAGGAAAGTAGCATGCATCCTTATTCAATTACTGAATCATATGAATCAAGCTTAAGGAACTACAGGAGGAATAGTGGCCACCAGAGGTGAGGAAGGGTAGGAGGGGATGAGACATAAATGAAGTGGGTTTTCTAGGTGGTGAGAAGGGTTTTAGAGGGACAGGAGCAGGATCCAGGGCGCAGGCATGTTCAAAGGATGTGATCAAGGCATTATGTATGCATGAATACGATTATCACAGTGAATTTGATTAATCAGTATATTTAATATGGGTTGGTAATTAAAATGGTATTTTATAACCTAAGTCATACAGAAAATAAAGAATTTGTGATCCAACATTGGGTTACTGAATATACATGTTTCAAGTTTCTCTCTCTCTCTCTCTGTCTCTCTCTGTCTTTCTCTCTGTCTCTCTCTGTCTCTCTCTCTCTCTTTCTCTCTCTCTCTCTTTAATGCTCACTGCACACATATTTTGCAATTTCTTTGTTTTGACCAGTAGAGATAATAGATTATTAATAACTTGCATCACATTCTGGCTTTGCCTCTGCAACTGTGTGGCAGATTAAACTTCTGTATGAGTCAGTTTCTTCACCAGTAAAATTTGGATCCAAATCTCAAAGCTATCTGGAGACACTGAACCAAAAATAAAATAAAATAAAAGTAATGCTCTGCTATTTTTGTATTTACTAGCATAAAATAATATGCACTTTCAAGTTCTTCTGTCTCAATATTGGAGTGTTTATATTTTTTCTAACAATAGTAAATGTTCTCTCAAAACAGGTAATCATACAAAACCTTACAAATAATTGGCCTCACTTCTTGAGTGATATTAAAAAAAACTGTCATCACAAAAAGCGAAATATAATGCTTATAAGATGTACCATGTTTTACCTAAAATCAGATGAAGAATAAGTTTAATGGTACGTTTAGGAGTTAAATTTTAAACATGTGTATTGGAAAATGAATTTTTAAAAATTCTTTTATTTTAACAATAAGATCATGTATTATAACTCAAATCAAAGAAAGGAGCCACGTTCAATTCACTATTCGGTATGTGTTTTCTTTAGGTTATTCATACCATCAGTGCCACTGATAAAGATGATTTTGCCAATGGCCCGAGATTTAACTTCTTTCTTGATGAAAGCCTGCCTATGAACCCGAACTTTACCCTTAAGGACAACGAAGGTGAACATGAATATCCACTTTTTTATCTATACAGCTTCTGCTCCAACCTGATATTGAATAGGATGATTAGTTTTGTTTATTCTTATAACTCACAAACTGCTTACAAATCAGTATTCAGCTTACAAATCAGTTTGTTGCTAATGTGTTACGATCTGTGAATTGCTTATACTTACAATGGAGCCATATGCACAGATAACATTCATTGAATTTATTCCGAAGCAATCCTTTAAACAAGAAAAGTACATGTAATGTGCTCTTGGCAAGTTTTAAGAGAAAACTTCGCTGACAAATGTTTATAAGAGCTGCTGCAAATGCTAGAAGGTAAAAATATTTAAATTAGACAAAAATGAAGAATATATCCTAGAGACAGGAAAGGAAATGCAATGTTTGAAATCATCTTGTATTAGCAAGGCTATCAAAATATGCTGTGCAAATTATATTTCCTCTCGTTATTGTGAACGTTTGCAAAAGTACGTGTAGAAAACTATGTACAACTACATAATATTATGGAAGTTCTTTAAACATTTGTTTAGCAATGTGCAATTCAAAGGGGAAATCGCACCTCAGTACCTTAGTAACAATGGAAGTGTCAACTTTATTTATATACCATGTTTGATAGACTCCTCAAGATTGTTTAGAAGTCATTTTTGTTCTATGGGGAAATAATAAAAATACTATCTGAAATTTTCTAATTAGCAGAAGATTTTTCCCTCTCCAAATTTTCATATTTATCTGAATTTGTTATTATGTAGGATGTAACCCTTGCCTCTGGCGTTTATATTGCAAACAAAGGCATATTGCAAACATCTTGGCAAGTAAGTTTAGTTATCTTCCTAACACAAATAACTTTTTCTCATTTCCCCTAAGTGTTTTTAAATGATCACAAGTACACTAAAGAGTGCAGGAAAACACTCCAGGTTATTATAAACATTCTAAACTTACCTGTCTCTCTCAATTTATGTGACACTATGGTCTGCTGTACTTTGCAGAATCTGTATACACAAGTGCATTTGCACATTACAAATTCCATTCAGACAACTTTTACATTTACTTACACTGAACATTCCATCCCACAGTACAAATATATTTGGCCAAAAATGTATGCAACAGGAAAAGAAAAACTAGCACATATATCGTAAAACTGAATTTATTCAGATATCATGAGATTAGTACAAGTCAGGTTTGGCTTCTACAATGACAAGACGTGCTGAAAGTGTTGGGCATGAGCTTCCAGACAGTTTTTACTACAAGGAACTTCTGAAATGGGTGTATGTTTTTTTGGTGGACCCTGTTTATTTGGTGTAAGTAAACATATGAAACATTGAGCAAAAAGTATCTTGACAAGATGTGCGCATCTGTAATTATAGCACTCTGAGGATATAGGCGGGCAGATCAGAAATTCTGAGCCAGTTGCCATAGTGAATTCCAGGTTAGTTGACCTCCACGGTGAGTTTCTGTCCCAAACTAACAGAGACAAACAAAAATCATTTCCCACTTGCTCTACATTTCAAATAATTTTCTGATTTGGAGTAGCTTAACTTCCTTAGTAAGATCAAAGCATAGGAAGTTATATTTCACTCAAATTACCTTTATTCCAGTAAGTTTTACTTTACATTTTAAAAATTTCAAATTGAAGATGTTTCAGTGTTCACTTCATATTTAAATACATATTAAGTTTAAACTATTTAAACTACATAGCTTGTAACTATGAAAATGCTTTAAGGAAACAGGAGAATTCTATTGTTGTTGAAACGCACATTACTATCAAAGTCTTTCCTACAACATTATTTTATCTGGAATTTACAAATTCAATTAATGATTTCATTAAATATCTTAATTCAGTGAAACCAAATACCACAGACTTTACACATTTAAGGCGTTTTCCTTAAAGTACACACACATTTTCAAAGACTACATGTGTATGTTAGTCAGCATTTATACTTTTCATGAAAATAAATTCTTAAATCATTGAAGCTCTTTAAAGTGTGAGAAGCCCATGGAATGTTATTTACGTAGTGTCAAGCATGTAAAATATATGTCTAGGACTATTTTTCAACTTACCAGATTTAAAGAAATTATAAACAACATAAATTTAAAACAGCAAATCTTTGCAGCAGCAGCAGCACACAGATGAAAATATGTTCGAGCATAAGCCTCAGTTGTACCGTAGAAGTGCAGACCTCTTCACCTGGATCTCCTGAGCCTCCATTTTTGCATCCATTAATCATAATTTAATATCCCAACTGGATCATTTTAGGAAAGTTACTGGTATATAAAAATATTAGAATCAGATGAGTGGTGGGGATAATAATTAAGAGCTGAAAAAAAACCAGGACTACTGGACCCAGGGTGCTTGAATCTCACAGTTTATGAGTTAGTAGAGATTTACGTGGTCCCAGAACATATAGAAAGACATCTAGAAGAAAAAATTAAACCATTATTTTTCTGAAGCTACTGTTTGCATAGAAGTGCATATTCAGGGACTCAGAGGAAAGTAGAGATAGCCTCTAGACTACAACACATGAAAGCCATTATCTCCATGGAATATTCCACAATGTTTTATGGCACAGCATGAGTGCAGACAAATAGATTTTCCAAAAATCTGGAGAAAAGGTTACACATTGTTATGCCTCAAATTAAACTGTGAAAGTTAGTGAAGAAATTTTATAAAATAAATTCACTCTGCATAATTAAAATATGAGTACAACCAGGGATTTAGCTCAGCAGCATAAGTGCTTGCCTGGCAAGAACAAGGTCATGAGCTCCATACCTAGTACAAAAAAAAAAAAAAAAAAAAAAAAAAAAAAAGAAATATAAAGACAAAATTATCTGACTTAAGTGTTTCACATTCTTAAATTTAAAAAATCTAACATCTTTTGAAAAAGAGCAAAGTTTCTATTACAGAAACTGAGACAACAATAAAACTAAAGACTATTATATGGAAATAATTGCAAAATTTTAAACACAATAAGACTGTAATATTTGCATATATTGTAAAACACCAGAGGAATGTAGAAAAATATATAGAAATTCATTGTTTACTGATAGGTAAGCAGAAAAGCATATAGAAATTAATTGTGTATGGATATGTATGCATATATTTGCATATGTATTTATATGTGTGTATATAAATCACATTTACATAGTACACAAAACTGTTATTTTAAATATGCAGAAACTATAGTGAAGCATATATTTGATAATATTGAAATATGTAGATGAAAATGACACACATCAAATTCATATGGTTAGATATGAGAAGAATTGAGAAAAACTGAGATCAGGTGTATAATGAAGTCTGTATATATGTGTATTTTCAAAAAGATTAAAATAAATTTGGCCAAAAATATGTATAACGTTTGAGTAGCAATATTTTAGTCTTGGTGTGAGTGAATTAGTTATAATAAGTTTACCACAAAATAGAAATTCACTTATTTACTCAATCAGTGTGAATTTAAACATTATTTATATCAATTTCGATGATTAATGATTATCTCTTCACAAGTGGTATCAGGATTTATTTCTTTTTTTCAAAGACATCTACTGTGACAGAACAATCACTTATTCATTTGGTACCAAAATCACCAGAGTTGTTCCCAGCTGTAATCCCAGGTACACTGGAGACAAATGCCAAAATCCAAGTTCAAGGCTAAGCTGGAGAATACAAGAACCCCCCCAAATATTGAGAGCTGTGGCTCCATATTAATGGCAGAGTGCTTGTCTACCACCTGTGCGAACCTGGGATTCAAAACAAACAGTGCAAAAGAAAGAAAAATGATGTAGTACAAAAAACACAATTGCAGTATACGATTAGGAGAAGATATGTTCTTATCCTTGGGGTGAAAAGTTAGTAAATAGTCAAGATTGTTTCTTAGAGACTGAGGTGGATCAATGAAAGCCGTGAGGTGTTTAATAGAAAAAAAAGGGAAACATACTTGGCAGATAGTTAAGCAAACCTAAAGAATTTAAATTGAGGAAGAATGTAAAAGTGATATCAAAGATCAAACGCATGATACAAACTTAGCCATATCAAATCAGAACTTGGTGAGAAACACAATCTGTAATCACTGTCACAGTTTCTTAGATCACAGAAATCAGTTTTCTTTTTGTCTCTGTTTTATCATAAATACAGTGGAGGACAAGGAAGCTAATGAAAGAATAAAATTTCTGAGTTTCTTAGTTACTACATGGATGTTGGATTATAAAGGGAAAGAATATCAGAACTATTGTGGATTCTTTAAGATTCTGGACAGCTTTCTCTGTTGTGAACAATGACCTCAGAATTTCTTTAGATTTGTAAATCCTCCCCATGGAGGTACTTGTGTGAGAACACTGCTCTCTGTGGAGCTCCTGTAAGCCTTCCTACCTTACATGCAAGGCCCTTAACTTCTTTTCTGTTTTAGGAGATCTCTTCAAAATGTCTGTATAATAATGTTTGAAAAAGATACTATCCAGTTTAAAAGTAATGGACATATTTATTTCCTGAATAGCTTAATAGAATGATGACTCTTTTCAAAGTTGGTGATTCCAAATCCCTGACAATGGACTCTAGCTTTCCAAATGGAATTTCCTTACCTGGTAACCAAAATCACTGGGTGCATCACATCCAGTTGCGGGGATCTTCTACTTCAGTATACTCACTGTGAAATATTAGGACCCTATTTTAAATGAGAGTTCATATTGTTTTCTGTAAGTCAGTTAAAATACTCTGTTTTCTGACTCAGAAGCATGGTCTACTCTGAGTATCCATGTATTATGCAAGCTAAAGTCCTAGCATGCAAACATGGTCATATCTTAAACAAAACCTTTCACATTCCTGATATATCACTGAAATAATTCCTAGCAGAAACTACTGTAAACCACCTAATTATTAAGATTTATTAAAAAGTTGATACTAAAGTCATACTAGAGAGAGGATACCTTATCTGTTGAATCTTAGCTCTTATTTGTACCGTAAAGAGATTCTGCTAGTTAGAACAACTGACCATGTGAACATGTTT